TGCGCGGTAATTTATACAGACGACATGACATGTGCGGTAATTTATACAGACGACATGCGCGGTCATTTATACAGACGACATGCCCGGTAATTTATACAGACGACATGCGCGGTGTTTCTGACTAACAATTGCAAATATGAAAAGTTCTTTTATCACAAAAATATTTTATGTCAAGATTGGCAATTATAATCTGCAATGCTCCACCTTTCTCACATTTTCAGAACCCAGAACCCAGTGGCGGGGCCTAAGGGGAGCAGAGGGGGCAGCCCCAAAAGAAAGTTTTTCGGGCAAAAATCTCATAACCAGGTCAGAGATTCAGGCAATCTCATATATCTCGCACCCTCCCCCCTCCCCTCGGACGTAAACCTGTCTCCGCCACTGCCCAGAACCTTAGTACAGTGACATAAGCTTATGGGAGTCAGACAGTAGGCTATAGAGTCAATGATTGATAGTGCATAGAAAGACGTGGTCGGTAAATATACCTCTATATCACAGAAAACATGTTTTGATGATTCTGCATGGAGTATTTAAAGAACGTGGTATTTTTAGAATATACATAGAACATGAAAGACTCGCGATTCTCGTCTGATATTTATGACTATTGGCTGTCATAGTAACGGATACACATGATCTATTATTCTTCCTCTAAAACTGAAGAGTTCGCAGAAAAACACCTGGTGGATGATACCGGCACTTTCTCTCATCTTCACCCTTCAAAGGTTAAGTATTCTTCTAAGATTTTCAAAAGTGAACTGTCTTCATTAGCTCACTTGGTGCAGAAAAGTGGGACGTAAAACTCCATTCATTTCATTTCATGTTTTGGTAATATTGTATTATCATAGTAGGTAATATCAGTGATCTTTGTATAAAAATACACAAATCAAGTACTAACGCAAAATGAATCCCGAAGTCCAAAAGAACACACCGGCGAAACAGTAGTAGGAGCTATGAACTTTTCATACGAGGAAGTATATCAATTATAAGTGTGTAAGTATTCCATAATGAAATGTGGTATCAGATGCCTGACGCCACAGCCGTACGTATATAAATTCTCTTTAATTAGTGTTGTGAAAAAACCAACATGAAGTAATATCAATACCTTGGTACTGTGATGATGATGTTGGGTGTATAATATCTAAAGAATGGTTACAATCTGATTGAATCAGGAGGTCGGTAATAATATCTTTTTACCCAAATGATAAATTGAGAACGTTACATGGACGTTGCATCATTTCTTAGATCCCTGGTTCCCAACCCGGTATGTTTTCATTCCCTGGGGGTGTGGACAACTGTTTTTTTTTATGATTCCAAACAATACAGCAACAGGCCTTCCCACTGAGCATCTTATTCCCCCTGCCCCTCCCCCCACCAATTTTGTGGCCCTTGCTCAGCCCCCCACGCCTGATGTTTTCTAGAAACGCTATTGGTTATGTTTTACATTTGTGATTCTTCTTAACTAACAAGTACAAACAGCATTAGACAGTGTAAATGGGGAACAATTTAGCGTCAACAATTTGCTTATCCATTGACATTCTGTGGATATTCACATCATGTATCTCACAGCTACACAGGATTGTTCTGGATCCCAATTGAACTCAAAGACACATCTTATTGAGACATTTTTCAGACTTAAACGTAGGTCAAAATATTCTAAGGCACTGCCACATCAACTTATTTCTCAAATATTTATTTATAAAAATCTGTAAAAAGTTATCATTAAAATATATTGAAGCTTTTAAAGTAATGGACATATTTTGGTCCAGAGCGGACGTCTGTCCTGACAAAAGATATTTACAATATAGCTATAATTTAATCTATCGTAGTTATAAGATGTCTAGTTATGTAACGTGTGCAATGCAGGATATCAGAGTACTAGACCTCTAGGTTTTTAGATGTTTTGAAGTAAAAAGGTTGTCATGGTAACTAATAGTATATGAGATAGTATATTATGAGTATAAAGATGATATTTTTGTTATGTTGATGAGTTCTGAAGAGGTATATACCGGGTTCTTGAGTACTTATTTATTCATTACTTTACAATATACCTATACAGTGACGACCGCTTTTACCACCCTGCGTGATGTTCTCGTCTACTTCATTGTACTCTTTACCATATACTGACGAGATGATCGAGTCTAACTCATTACTCTTCATGAATATGATGGCTCATTACCCCTTTCAGTAACGTATATCACTATGATGATCGAGTCTTAATTATCAGGCTCAGTTATATCTAAAATATAAATCATATTGACATGATGTTCCAGACTTCAATAGTAACCTTTTCTTATCACACCACTCCGTCAAAAGACACAAATGTTCAGTGGTCCACGACAGCTCTACCAGAGGCGTCCCCTCCCCCTCTTCTCGGCCTCAAGGGTTAGAAATTCGGGCAACCTCAGGTAATAGGTAGTTGTTGGTAGATGAAAAGTTAACGTCCACTTTCAGCTAACTCATATCACAGACTAGGTAGTTGTTGGTAGATGACAAATTAACGTCCACTTCCAGTTAACTGTTATCACAGACTAGGTAGTTGTTGGTAGATGACAAATTAACGTCCACTTCCAGTTAACTGTTATCACAGACTAGGTAGTTTTTGGTAGATGACAAATTAACGTCCACTTCCAGTTAACTGTTATCACAGACTAGGTAGTTGTTGGTAGATGACAAGTTAACATCCGCTCCCAGCTAACTGATATCACAGACTAGGTAGTTGTTGGTAGATGACAAGTTAACGTCCGCTTCCAGCTAACTGATATCACAGACTAGGTAGTTGTTGGTAGATGACAAGTTAATGTCCGCTCCCAGCTAACTGATATCACAGACTAGGTAGTTGTTGGTAGATGACAAGTTAACGTCCACTTCCAGTTAATTGTTATCACAGACTAGTTAGTTGTTGGTAGATGACAAGTTAATGTCCACTTCCAGTTAACTGATATCACAGACAAGGTAGTTGTTGGTAGATGACAAGTTAACGTCCGCTTCCAGCTAACTGATATCACAGACAAGGTAGTTGTTGGTAGATGACAAGTTAACGTCCGCTCCCAGCTAACTGATATCACAGACTAGGTAGTTGTTGGTAGATGACAAGTTAATGTCCACTTCCAGCTAACTGATATCACAGACTAAGTAGTTGTTGGTAGATGACAAGTTAACGTCCGCTTCCAGCTAACTGATATCACAGACAAGGTAGTTGTTGGTAGATGACAAGTTAACGTCCACTTCCAGCTAACTGATATCACAGACTAGGTAGTTGTTGGTAGATGACAATTTAATGTCCACTTCCAGCTAACTGATATCACAGACTAGGTAGTTGTTGGTAGATGACAAGTTAACGTCCGCTTCCAGCTAACTGATATCACAGACTAGGTAGTTGTTGGTAGATGACAAGTTAATGTCCGCTCCCAGCTAACTGATATCACAGACTAGGTAGTTGTTGGTAGATGACAAGTTAACGTCCGCTTCCAGCTAACTGATATCACAGACTAGGTAGTTGTTGGTAGATGACAAGTTAACGTCCGCTTCCAGCTAACTGATATCACAGACTAGGTAGTTGTTGGCAGGTGACAAATTAACGCCCAGCTAACTGATATCACAGACTAGGTAGTTGTTGAAAGATGACAAGTTAACGTTCGCTTCCAGCTAACTGATATCACAGACTATGTAGTTGGTAGATAACAAGTTAACGTTCTCTTCCAGCGGATGCTGATATCACAGACTAGGTAGTTGTTGGTAGTCGCAGTAGTTGGTAGTTGGATTGGTTCAAATTGGATGATTCTGTAATGTTAATTTGGTAGTTGAGAATTCAAGTCTAGCTGGTGTTATTTAGGTCTTTTGGTGTCACTCGTTACACTAGTCGCGATCAACGAAGAAAAAACTGCGATTTTATCTTATTTTAATTTTTTTAAAAAATAACACGTTTATCGTTATCCTTGCCTTCTTTTCTTAATCATCATGTGTTTGATAAAAAATGACGCAAAATTATGATATAAAGGGGGTTTTCAAGATAACTTGAATTTGACAAATATCAGTGATTATTGTTAGATATTAAGGTTTAATAACAAGATAAAGGGAGATAACTACCAGATTGTAAGAAGATAAGAAGTGTGGGGTGAGGGAATTTATCGTATGATCAGGTTGATAGTTATTATTATCGTGAGTTTTACATACTAGTACCAGATTGTAAACAGGCTTTATCATCAAAGGACGATCATTTAAAAGGATTGTTCCATTTAATATTATAAAACTGCAAACAGGGTTTTTTATTTCCACGATACAAGCATCGTATATTATAATTATAAGAGACTGTAACAGGTTTTATTAATGATTCGAGAAGCCTAATAATACATATTATTAAAGGTCATATATGTATATATATTTAAGGACATAAGCAAACCCCTTGCTCTGCCTCTATTCCAGCCTCTGATGGATATTTTGACAGTTGTCAGCTGGAGTAGAGTCAGGAGAAAAATACCCTGTGGATTTTCCACACCTCCAAAGATGTACGCAGTTTTAAATGGCCGATGCTAGTTCAGTATCGCAAAAAAGAAACTTTGATGGAACCGGAGACATGACATAAATGGTGTAGGGAGAAAATGGTGGTATGACTGAACTACAAAAAGATTCATCTTTCCAATACCTGAGGTATCTAAAAAGGTTTAAAACGCCCGCCTATTTTTTCTGTCTCTACACCAGCTGACATCTGTCCAATTAGCTATCAGAGGCTGGAATAGGGACAGATGTTTTGGTTTGGGCTCTGATATACTTTACATAGTAAGAAGATAGAACTAGTTAAGTGTGCGACCATCTCTAGTTTTTGAAAAAAACGCGATGACAAGATGAAGTTTTTAGATGAACTATTTTATGTAAATGGCACCTTTCCTTTAACTGATTAAGTAAGTGGGTGCGTATTAATATCATTAGAATACATGTGAAATGCTGTTCAGTGTTTAGTGTCAACTCGTATCTTCTTATCATATGTAATAGAATTCTAACCGAAGATGGAATTAACTGTTCTGCTATGTCTGGTAATTGCAGGCATCAATGTCTGTATGGGTCTGAGACCGTCCTACAGAGCTGCTGTCTATGAACATGCTGTGATAATGCCGGTCAATATAAGAACTGTTTCTAGATCTCAGGCTCTGGTCAATATGAAGAAGAATTTAGATATTTATGAAGAACAAGTCAGACGAGCTGCAGGGGAGGTAAGAAGCTATTAATAAATTGAACTTCACCAGCAAATCTTACTAGCTCACTGAGGCACCGCGGCTCCCAAAAAAACGAATTGGAGAGTATTAGAGAGCACCAGTAGCCAAACAATTTAATTGAAAACAAAAACTAGGCATTAATGAGCCCCTATAGATCGGGATTAATTTTGATATCGTCAAAACTGTTGCGCTGTTATGCGGCGGGGCCAGGGAAATAATCGTATGTAATTATTTTATTAGCTTATCCAGAAAAGCTATTACATAATCTTTCATATCAATTTCTACCCTCCGTTGTTTTTTTTTTTCTAGAATGTCGACATCATCGTTTTCCCTGAAGATGGTATTTATGGAGTCAACTTCAACAGAGATACCATTAAACCATATTTAGAAGATATCCCCGACCCACAATCCGTCTCATGGACTCCTTGTAACAGAACGAACATAACCCAGGGTTCCGAGGTACAAACGCGATTGAGTTGTATGGCAAGAGAACACAATATTTATATCGTCGCGAATATGGGCGACAAGAAACCATGTGATTCGAACACAGACGTTTCGTGTACAGACGGTCAGTACCAGTATAATACTAACGTTGTTTTTGATCCACAGGGTCGTTTAGTTGCTCGATACCATAAACAAAATCTATACTTCGAGGCTCAGTTCGATACACCAAAAATACCAGAGCGAGTTACGTTTCAAACTCCATTCGGAAAATTTGGTGTGTTCACCTGTTTCGATATATTGTTTAAAACCCCAGCAGTTGATTTGATAGACGAACTGGGAGTAGAGAACGTGGTATTACCCACGGCTTGGATGGATTCCCTACCCCTCCTAGCAGCCATACAATTCCATTCCGCCTTCGCCAAACATTTCAAAATTAATTTATTAGCAGCAAATATTCATTTTCCGTTGTTTAATTTTCACGGCAGTGGAATCTATTCACCTAAACGAACCGAGTCCTATTATTACAACGACGGTTTGTTCAGTGGCGGGAAACTACTGATAGCAGACGTCAAATGTAACCCGCGCCAACACAGACGTCATTTGTTGGTACCAGATAGGCAACGAATTCACCCCGAAAACTGGGAAAATCTTCCACAAAATAATTGGCTACCGTTTCAATCTAGACGGCGTTCTCACAGACATCATGGAAACAACCATGTGGGCTCGAGTAACGTGATTTCCAACACCGATCCTATTCAACTGTTTTCACTGAGCCGACAGATGATGATGGCGGGCTGGATACACATGATGAACAACCAGGACAACTTCCAGTACATTCCTCTAACTCAAGCTAAAGCGAAAGTAAAGGTCTGTCAGGGTGAAGTTTGTTGTTATCTTGATTACCAAAAATTGAATGGTACTGAAGAACTTTACGCCCTCGGGGTTTTTGACGGAATCCATCAAATCGACGGTTTACAATGGTACACTCAAGTCTGTGTCATGCTTAAATGTGAATCGACCGACATATCAAGTTGTGGTCGACCCACAAAAGAAGCTAATGGACATTTCAACTACATCAAATTGTGGGGAACGTTCACGACGCCGTACGTTTTCCCGCAAATTTTAGTTTCCCATCGAGGACAGCTTCGACTTGAACACGAGCATTGGAAATATCGTCAGAACAGGATTGAGTTTGTTAACCGCGGGCGCGAGAAGCCTCTCTTATCTGCCTCTCTTTATGGACGAAATTACGACAGAGATCACAGTTCTCCTAGCGAGCAAGATTAGAGGGTATCTGACTCCTCGTGCATGCCAGCATTTCAATGACCTGCTTTGAGATTAAACTTATTCTGTACCAAACTATCCTCATGTTAGATGTCACCGAGCCACCATCGAAGAGTCCATCTGTTCAGACCAACCTTAGCATGCAGTCCATCACCCAAACTTAAATACAAGCACGCCCTGTTAATTCGGCGCAACTCCACTGTAGGTCCTTAATCTTCCATACGCTCTAGATTGTCAGCAAGTAAACAGACATAGCTTGTGTAATATTGATAGCTTGTAAAAAGAGACCTGGGAGTTTTAATTAACCATCAATACTCATGGGTGTACATCCTCGAGTCATCCTCGATTGTAAACAAGCCATCATCAAGCTGTTAACACGTTATCCTAGGGTTGTCAACAAGCAACCGTCAAATGTAAGCAAGATATCCTAGCGCTGTAAACAAGCAAAAGTCGAGTGTAAACAAGTTATCCTTGGGTAGTCAACAAGCAACCGTCAAGTGTAAACAAGCTATCCTAGTGCTGTAAACAAGCAACCGTCGAATGTAAACAAGTTATCCTTGGGTTGTCAGCAAGCAACCGTCAAATGTAAGCAAGCTATCCTAGAGCTGTAAACAAGCAACCATCGATTGTAAACAAGCAACCGTCGAGTGTAAACAAGCTAGCTTAGGGCTGTAAACAAGTAATTGTCAAGTGTAAGCATATTATCAACAGGCAGCATCGTTCATCTATTTATATCCATCTTCATATCCTAGTGTTAATCCTAACCTATTATTTATAACAAAAAATATTTGTATCAATTGGCATATTATTAATTTCTATTAAACTTTCTATTGTGTTTTGTAAATGATTGTAAATAGGTACCTTCTGATATATTACCTCTATAAAACAATAAATAAAACAAGTACAGGTAGTACGAATCCGAACCGCAAAAGAAAACTGCAATCTGAACAACTCATTGCTGATACATTGGTAGCAGCCCCCGAGCCACTAAATACTTCTCGTATAACTACGTTTTTAATAAATTCATAATACCCCTCACACCAAGAAAAGGTAGAATTTGGAAGATTAATGTGATAATACCAGAAACATTGTGCCCTAAGGTATAAATTGATGTATTTTTACTTTGATACAATAAGTTATTCGCCTGTAAGAGCTGCTTCTAATTTGAGTAAAATCTCAGCTCTGTATGAAAAGTTCTGTGACACAGAAATATTGAATATCTCTAAGAGTGCTTTTCTTATTACCTACGTGACGAAGCAGATCTGTAATCAGTTCTATATCATTGACAGTATCTCTATCAGCAAGGTCAGTAGATAACACAACTTACACCAAACATAACAAAAAAGAGGTTTGACTATTGATAACCGTTGAACTACGTGAAGATCTCCACATATACTACCTGTTTTAAACTTCCGGTATGAAAGATTGGTCCTGTCGGATGATTTAGCCTTAAACAATAAATTTTACTTCAGGTTAGCGAGTTTGTGTGGTAGGCTAAAGCCCTTTTTGGTAAGGTTTTTTACATTTATTGTTACCGTTGGGTTATCGGTTTAAAATCAATGATTTTTTACTTTCAATTCGGTTGGTTTTGGCGGTTGGTGATGGTTGGCCGTCATTTTTAACCATACATTTTCACTTCCAGTTTTATCAACAAAAGACAATTTTACTTCCGGTTTAATTGATTGATTAAGACCAAGTTAATTGACAGAAATTCTATAAAAATATCATTTACATCTACATTCAAATAACGCTTTACCTTTTTAATAATCAAAATTTAACTACAGGTAATATATTTTCCAACCGTGTTCGTTTATAAAATCACCAGAATCTAAAATTGAATCCGACATCAACTGACATTTTTTACTGGGTTGGGAATAGGCAAATCCAAGACACGTATCGTCTAGTATACACTCTGATGCACATTGCAACTGAGATGACATCACTTTTGTTAAACTGGAATCATCAACATGGAGTCCATCAGGTCCACGTGACATCACTGCTTGCCTGGTAAAATCTACAAAATAAATTAATATCAGCAATGACACAAATAATGAGAAATTAGTGTCAAATTTGAAATCACAAAATCCGTCCTCTGATTATCAGTCGTCAAATATATTTATCGAATGAAATGGTTTTATATTAGTTCTTGACGTTATGTAGGAAATTTAGCCAAGGCAGAGACATGAGCCCACCATTGAGGGGTCTGGGTATCTCATGTTGTTGCAAACGGAGCCTCGGTTTATTGTCCAATCCATAAGACTGGGTACGGAGAAAATGATGAAAATCGGGTTGATTGTTCCACTGGTATATCAAGTACTATTAGAGTCCGAATGTTGTGATAAATGCAACTTTTTCCTTGGGCTCAAAGATCTCTTCCAGAAAATCGGAATATGGAAAAAAGTTCCTTTGTATTATAAATTCTTTATAAAAAGTATAAAAGTCGACTTGTGAACCAGGTGTAATAATTATATTAGACGAGGACGAGAAAACAAAGCATTAAATAGTGAATGTATGCTGGTATCGTTTTTTCAACTTTTGTCATATTATATCATCATTAAATAAATTAAAACTAAAGTAAATATTGCGTGTCACCATCCATTTAATCTGGTTTCATCAATATATTTTATTAAAATACACTGCACTTTGTATTAGAACAGAGAGATCGATGGTGAGCTGATTGGAAAGCGATCGGGTTGAAATTTTATTTAGTTTATATAACGCACTATTTTTTACATCAATTTCAAGTACATTCGAAAACTCGGCAGTTTCCGTAAAACCGAGTCCTCGTGTTACTGTCACTGTGGATAGTTTTGAATTGGTTTTGATTACGCACGATTTTTTACAATTAATTTCCATACATTTAGTAAATTATATTTGTGAATTGATATTTCGAGTTTTGATTTAGTTTTGAGGATCACATATATATTAATTATAACAACTGAACTGATTGAACTAAAATTAACATCAGGTAGAAATATATAGTTCTAACTTCATGACCTATAGACTCCCTAACACACCAGTGTTCTATATTATATAGACACAGCTTTATAGAACAACAATAACTGGTAAAAGTTTTATGTAACGTTTCGACGTGTTTCCCCTGTCGTCCTCAGTCACTTGAAGAACGTTGCATAAAACTTTAACCAGTGATTGTTGTTCTATGAAGCTGTGTCTACATATCGTACTCACAATTACTAAAAGCCATTCAAATAATGTAATGCGCTATATGTTGAATCTTTTCATGTGTAAAAATTTTCAACACGATTGATCTATACGCTTTAATATTTAAAATTGAATTATGTAATGAACAATCATTGCCTTGTTATTATTGAAATGTTTAATGATATAAGTATTTATTATTAATCATTATGGAAGTCGTTGAGGCTCAGCGAGTTGGGAGACTACTCGATTACTCGAGTATCAGCTTACTCGATCAGACACTTTAGATTTTCACTCAGTTTTCATCTTGACATCTCGACGTAAATTTGAATTATTTAGATTGGCATAGCCCTCTCTCTTCGATTCCAAACTGTCGAGGAATCGACGGAGGTGTCTCGGTCCTCCAATCTTAACGACTAGACACTGTTATCCATGTCGCATCATCGGACCTGCATCACTGACAGGGGGAAGCTGATCAGGCCGCGCAACCAGCCAAATGTACCAAGGTGGGCGGACGCATTTGCATGGGGGCCAAAAGCTGACTGATTCCAGCTTCAATTGAGAATTTGTTCGAATTCTGCAGTGGGGAGTGGGGGAGGGGCGAATGTAGTCCCCCCCCCCCCTCCCCTAGCTACGGGCCTGTGCCTAATTGAACCATAGACAGTCAGGTTAGAGAGCAAGTTTTTTACATCAAATAGCCATCGTGACTCCTCGAAAACATATACTTACCAGAAATAAGGACACCAATTCTTGAATGGATCTTATTGATGACCTCCAGGGTGCCAATAGCTACTGCAGTGACACCCCCGGGGACGGTTGGTTTTATTTGAGATCTTGTAAGGATGGTTGGTGTTAGGTCTAGACCGGAAGTGGGCTGCCTGGTAGTTGTGGTAATGCTTTCCTCTTTGTAACCTTTACACATTGATAATCGAGAACCCATCTTCGAGGAACAAACCTTGTTTTTTATTTTATTAATTATGGTACTGGCGGTGGATCTAGCTTCTGATTCCTGGTGAGGGATGATCAAAACTGAAAACACACACAAATTTAAATAATTTCGAATATGTTAATTTTTTCATGATTTTAAACAAAACTGAAAATACCCTATTTATATTTCAACTGTAATTTTAATTAAAAGTGACTGCGAAGTTGTTAATTTTCCTTTTGCCTTCGTAAAAGCCTGCATATTACAGCCATACTCGGGATTCAAATCATCTCGTCTGACTCATCGCATTCAAAAAATATAAAAATATATCAAAATATATCAAAATATATCCAAAAATAGATCGACTTATCAGCTGTTATAAGATAATATATTAAATCGTAAACCAAACCGCGGAGTTCGTCGGCAGGATCTAGTGATTGTCAGGAGGTTTGACCAAACCGCGGAGTTCGTCGACAGGATCCAGTGATTGTCAGGAGGTTTGACCGAACCGCGGAGTTCGTCGACAGGATCCAGTGATTGTCAGGAGGTTTGACCAAACCGCGGAGTTCGTCGACAGGATCCAGTGATTGTCAGGAGGTTTGACCAAACCGCGGAGTTCGTCGACAGGATCCAGTGATTGTCAGGAGGTTTGACCAAACCGCGGAGTTCGTCGACAGGATCCAGTGATTGTCAGGAGGTTTGACCAAACCGCGGAGTTCGTCGACAGGATCCAGTGATTGTCAGGAGGTTTGACCAAACCGCGGAGTTCGTCGACAGGATCCAGTGATTGTCAGGAGGTTTGACCAAACCGCGGAGTTCGTTGACAGGATCCAGTGATTGTCAGGAGGTTTGACCAAACCGCGGAGTTCGTCGACAGGATCCAGTGATTGTCAGGAGGTTTGACCAAACCGCGGAGTTCGTCGACAGGATCCAGTGATTGTCAGGAGGTTTGACCAAACCGCGGAGTTCGTCGACAGGATCCAGTGATTGTCAGGAGGTTTGACCAAACCGCGGAGTTCGTTGACAGGATCCAGTGATTGTCAGGAGGTTTGACCAAACCGCGGAGTTCGTCGACAGGATCCAGTGATTGTCAGGAGGTTTGACCAAACCGCGGAGTTCGTCGACAGGATCCAGTGATTGTCAGGAGGTTTGACCAAACCGCGGAGTTCGTTGACAGGATCCAGTGATTGTCAAGAGGTTTGACCAAACCGCGGAGTTCGTTGACAGGATCTAGTGATTGTCAGGAGGTTTGACCAAGGACTATCTGATAGATAGGGTCTTCGTGAACCTAAGTTGTTATCCTTATGAGAAAAATCGCTGTTCTCTACTAGATTTAAATAAAAATAAAAAAAATCCCCTCACCTAAAAATCCTGCAAAGCATAATAACTGAAATAAATCCATTTTACGGTGCGAAAAATCCAAATTTTTATTATTACAATAAAATCTCTAAATTTTTCAGAAAATATGAAATCTCCGAAAAAGCTTCTAAACCTAGAATCCAACAAAAGATTATAACTTTTCCAGGTTTTCAGGAAAAGAATTCGTTAGTCGGTTTGAGGTTGGTAATCTAATTGGTTCACAATACAATACTCTCTACAAGCATCTTGATTTATTTTAAACATGTTTAGTGAAACTAGCCTCAGTAAAAAGTCTTCTGTAAATCGACATCGACTTATCGAAACTGATATCAATGATTTGTTTTATTCAGATCGATTAGACCAATATTGTTTCTAGAATATATACGACAATTGACTCATTTTAATTAACCTTATAATAGAGACTTTGTCAATGACAATTAATATATTGAAAAGCCATACATCCTAGAAAATGCCTGCGGGGGTGGGAGGGGGTAAAATGAGAGTCGCCGAAATAGCCTTAAACCGGAAGTCTGGGGGCTACCAGAAAGCAGCGGATTTCAGATGAGTATATCAATCAGTAGTGAAGTGATAAGTAAGTATTTCAAAATGAAATATGGTATCAGGTGTCTAGAAGTGTAAGTATACCCTGCCTGGCACAAAACTGCTAACATGAGGAAGTATATCAATCATAAGTGAGTAAGTATTTCATAATGAAAAGTGGTATCAGGTGTCTAGAAGTGTAAGTATACCCTGCCTGGCACAAAACTGCTCACATGAGGAAGTATATCAATCATAAGTGAGTAAGTATTTCATAATGAAGAGTGGTATCAGGTGTCTAGAAGAGTAAACATACCCTGCCTGGCACAAAACTGCTAACATGAGGAAGTATATCAATCATAAGTGAGTAAGTATTTCATAATGAAAAGTGGTATCAGGTGTCTAGAAGAGTAAACATACCCTGCCTGGCACAAAACTGCTTACATGAAGAAGTATATCAATCATAAATGAGTAAGTATTTCATAATGAAAAGTGGTATCAGGTGTCTAGAAGACTAAGCATACCCTGCCTGGCACAAAACTGCTCACATGAGGAAGTATATCAATTATAAATGAGTAAGTATTTCATAGTGAAAAGTGGTATCAGGTGTCTAGAAGAGTAAGTATACCCTGACTGGTACAAAACTGCTTACATGAGGAAGTATATTAATCATAAGTGAGTAAGTATTTCATAATGAAAAGTGGTATCAGGTGTCTAGAAGAGTAAGCATACCCTGCCTGGCACAAAACTGCTTACATGAGGAAGTATATCAATCATAAGTGAGTAAGTATTTCATAATGAAAAGTGGTATCAGGTGTCTAGAAGAGTAAACGTACCCTGCCTGGCACAAAACTGCTTACATGAGGAAGTATATTAATCATAAGTGAGTAAGTATTTCATAATGAAAAGTGGTATCAGGTGTCTAGAAGAGTAAACATACCCTGCCTGGCACAAAACTGCTTACATGAGGAAGTATATCAATCATAAGTGAGTAAGTATTTCATAATGAAAAGTGGTATCAGGTGTCTAGAAGTGTAAGCATACCCTGCCTGGCACAAAACTGCTTACATGAGGAAGTATATCAATCATAAATGAGTAAGTATTTCAAATTGAAAACCATAACCTGCCTGGCATATGAGGAAGTATATCAATTATAAGTGAGTAAGTATTTCATAATGAAAAGTGGTATCAAGCGTTTAGAAGAGTAAGCATACTCTATTACTCTGTTGTCAGGGTGGGGGGGGGGGGGGGGCAAGGGGCTGGGATGTTGCAGGCCTTACTGAAAAATTGTTACAATCGCATTCAATCGCATCCAGTATAGCTGGTGACGTCTGCTTCTTTTTTATTTCTTGCTGATTTGAATCAGTACTGAAGGTCGATTTCAATTTTTTGTGGAAAATTTTACGGATATCCCATCATCAACTCTGAAAGGCGACGAGGCTTTGACATTGTGGGTTCGTTTTACTGCTCGTGACCCTACCAGGCTGATGATAATGGATATCTGAAATTTAGCTTTTTCTGCAGTTGGTAAAACAAATATTTGGCCTACTACTATATCCCTTTCAGTTCAAATCCACGACAGACACTAGAAATATTCAGGATAACAGAATTTTGTTTGTCAATAAAAATGTCTTCAGGCAAATTATTTTATAGGTTAAATATTTTTCTAACGACAACCACAAAAATTGTTTGTAAAATCGGTGAGTCGACTAGACAAACTATGGTAAATGTCTAAGTTGAGGAACTAGGTGAACACCAGTATTCACTTAGTAATATTTGTTCACCAGTTCAATATACAAGAGTCAATATATTTAGTTTTTATTATATATCATCCGAGCCAATCAATCAATCGATGAGTCCAATCAAAGATATTAGATATAGATTTGGTTAATGACTTTATCTCTAAAAATAAGTTAATCTTTAGTTTAACAACAAAAAAACATTCATCCCTTTCATTTTACAAGTATAGGAGCTAATCGACATTGTATTAAATGATCAATGGTTAAATTTTGTCGGCAAATCTTGATAGGCCTACATTTTCCACGCAGGCCGATATATCGGGCATAGACCTACTTTTTGATTTTTACATTCCAAGTGGCAAATAAACACATAAAAGGAAAAATTTTCTGAATGTTTATTACACAATTTCGAATTTAAAGTTTCTGACAAAATCTTTCGGTTCGTTTAAACCATACACAATTTTAATTTTCCAATATGGCAGCGCCCATTGCTGTAGAAGTTTTCTTACGATTTTAAATTAATTTTAGAGGCAGAAAGAATCAAGTTATCTGGAAATTGAAGCATGGAGTCGAATTTTGTAGTCATTGTTCCTTCAAAATATGCACAGCAATCAAGGTTATTACTTTTTCATCTGAAGCAACTGAATTATTATTGTTATTCTGTATGGCTTCGGTAAAATTGGCTACAAGAAACGAAACAATGGTATATTATGCCCCTTTAACGATTCATGCTATAGTAATAGTATTGATGATGATGATTATATGAAAGCTGGGTTGATTATGAGATATTGATTATATATAATCAATATAGAACTGGGTTTTAATATTATAAAGAGATTGATTATGCAGCGATTGGAATGCATTGTTTATGGATAATGAATCATTATCATTATGTTGGCCAAGCCTCTTGGCATTGATCTTTCCCTGATTATCCATACCCATTTACAGCCAGGTCGACTGGAATTATGAGTGAAGATGACTTATTCAAGGTCATCTGACCATCACACGCCGATCGAGATCGGAACCCACAACCCCTATTCTATCGACGTTACCAAGCAAATGACGTCATGTAAAGAACCAAGGCTCTAACATAGCTTATTGTTCATTTCGTTTTTTTAAAATTGGTGGCATAAAAGAAAAATTAAATTCTAAGAGACTGTGAACAGAGAGTAGTAAAAACTTATATTAAAAAGCAATATTGATTAATATCAAAATATTTTTCTAGGCAAATTTTGGAGAAGAATGGAATTTGGGATGAAAGTAGAAGATTTAAAACTGTAGTAAACAGAAAGATTGCCATTCCTGTTCTCACAGACAGTTTTAATCTGAAAGTTCTTGAGAACATCTTGACAGAAAATGAAATTGAAGTGTGTAAAATGGAGTTACCTCCCTCTAAAAAGACTAATGTTAAAAACAGGACACCGGCATCTATATTAAAGGAGAGCCTGAAAGAGTTAGTGATAAAATCTGGTAAAGAATGGAGTAAAAAACTTGAGGAAGATTTACCTACAAGTTGGGAAAAACATGGTGATCTGGTTTTATTCCATGAAGGTTGTTTTAAATCACCAGTTTGGACAGAGCTAGGTAGCCTAATATTTTCTTTCTCTGAGACTCCATCACTGGCTGAAGAGATTTATATTGATTGACCTGCTGTAATTTCTCGAATCATGCAGTAATTTATTTCTGGGAGACCAACCTTGATCATAATAATTTGAACAAGCAAGACAATTCTATTAACCAAAAATCTCGTTCAAAGCATGACAAAATCAGGAGAAAGATGTACCATCAGGTCATGATTCCTGTTTGAAGCTGTACCACATTCTCCACCTAAACACATTCATCTTGTGCACTATTTTTGCTGTATATTATTGGTAATTGTATATATTATTTAGACAGTGAAATGTGGAATGTTGTAGCCAGTAGTTTATCATGTAAAAGACTAGCTGTAAAATCAGTGGTAAATAATAATGGTTTTAGAACCCCGCAGGTTAGACTGGTAGTAGGCGATGATGGTTGGGTAGAACAGGTTGATAATAAACTTAGGTTAGTATGTAATGTAAGATAATCAGTATGTAAACAAAGATGGCTAGACCAGAAACTGATTAATTCAATAATAATATGGCTGTTTAGGCATACAACAAGTATGATGTCACTTATAACGTTATAAAGATAGCGTTATGTTACACATGACTTAGCTCTAGGTTTGATGTAACCAAACAAACCCTCTATCTCACTGCGTTACAGCCTGTGTTAGTCAGGATTTGAACTCTAATCGGTTGTATTTCATCTCCTGGGTTTTTCCTTGGTTCTCTAGGTAAAAGTTTATTTTCAACAAGTAAGTACATAGGATAAGGAGGCTGTTACTCTCAAAATTTCTCAATTTTTTACATAGGGAAAGAAGTGCTTGTGAGCCCCCTTCACAATTCTAGGGCCTTACTCAGCATCCCTATCTAATGACACCTAGAAACCAGTCTGTAACACTATATGCTTGTTTCAGGTTCACCTATAATATAACTAAGTGTATGTACAGTATTGGTAATATAACAGAGAAATTAAGATTAGCTAAGCTGAACTGTTCTGCTGAAACAGTTGTAGATTTATACGCTGGTAAGTGGTTCATTTCCTCTTTAGATCCCCTAAAAAAACATTAAGAAATATTGAATTGAAAGTCAACTATTTGGAATATTGAATGACATTAGATATTCTGGAGAGTTGATAATGACCAACAAGCTTATCTGATTGGTTTCTATAGTTCTGGAGGGTAATGAACTAAATTATTTCTTTGTATCAATATTTTATTTTGTAATTTATTGGGCTATTAACAAATCAGAAAATAATTTTAAGATATCCTCAGTGCTGAGTATGTTTTTTTTTTTTTGAAATTTGTGATCTATCTTGAATTATTGCCCTTGTTTTCTAGGTATAGGTTATTTCACCATCCCCTATCTTGTCCATGCTGGCGCCGAATATGTCCATGCCTGCGAGTGGAACCCTGATGCTGTAGAAGCTCTGAAGAAGAATTTAAAACTGAACCAAGTTGAAGAAAGATGTACAGTTTATCTAGGTGATAACAGGAAGGTGGGTTTAGAATATTTTTAATTATAACTTGTCATACAAGGACCAATAACTAGAATATGATATATCAAAACACAAACTATAATAACCGATCAAAGCAAGAATAACCCATGAAATTAAGAATTTTAACTTGTTTTTAATTTAGTATTGACAGGGTTTCTAAATATTATTTTGATTATTAATCGTTTATTGATCAGTAGTCTGACATCGATAATCCATCTCAATTTACTAATTGATACCCAGCCCTAGGGTATCCAGTGCTCATATAAAGACTAGTAAAACATCTTTACAATCTCTTTCAATGTTCCTGATACAAAATGTGTTTTTTTTATCTGTTTCAGGTATGTCCAGTAAACGTAGCAGATAGAGTCAATCTAGGCCTGATTCCCAGTTCAGAAAATGGTTGGCCAGTAGCTTGTTCAGCTCTAAAACATGATTCTGGTGGATTTCTTCATATTCATGCTAATGTTTCTTCATTGAATCAACTTGCATCGAAACCTAAATTACATGATGTCTGTGATAATTCTTTTAGTGACAATGGAGATCTTCAAAATGTTCATAAACACCCTGTAGGTGATGTTAGTAGTAAATCTCAAAGTGTGGAAACAAATTCTGAAAGCAAGCCACTAATAGATGTGTGTTGTGACAGTGAAAAACATGAATATATCAAACTGCTATCTAATGATGATAGTAATAAATCATTTAGTGATCAGAATGCCTCGAAAGGAGATTCTTACTCCAGGATTATTTGGAATCAATGGGCCGAATCTACTGCTATTAAAATAAGAACTATGTTATGTGAGCTATATCAAAAACCCTGGACAACAACTATACATCATATTGAACATATTAAATCTTATGCCCCTCATGTTGACCACCTGGTGTTGGATTTAGAATGCCGACCTTTGACCTGATAATAAAATTATTTAAACACAAGTCTGGTCATTTATCTAGTATTTAACAAACTGAACATTTCCAACATTTTACTGAAAATCAGCCCCATTAATATTCAAAGTCTAAGCGGCTTCGACAATTAAATGAATGTAATTTTCTTATGTACTGGAAACTAACCGCCTTTTTATTAAAACAAGAACACCCTTATTATTATTATTACTACCAAAGTCACACTAAAACCTTAACAGCACTTAGAAATATATAGTTCTTACTTCAAGACCAAGGCCAGTGCTTTCTAGGAGAGGGGAACTCTATTCTGGTAACACCCTAACACAGTCATCCAGTAATATTTAAAACCCTTTTTTTAAAATAAACCTCAATTCAATTAGAGCCAAATTTGAGCTTACATCCATCCACAATTTCTCATTGATATCTCAATGGTCAGAGTTGATAGATTTAAGATTTTCTGCATATTTCCTCGACACAATAACACATCAATTACAGTCATCATAATTTATTTTTAGATTTCATGGTTTGAATTTGTTGTAATAAGTCCTGCATTCTATATTTCATAATAGGTTGTCCTTTACTTGTTCTAATTTTAAACTTATTGTGTTTCTCGGCTTTCTTCTCATTATAAATCCTAATGGCTTCATCACGAGCTTCTTTTTCTTTTATGGCTTCCTAAAAATATATCAAAGACATTATAATGTGCTCTCTGACTCTCAACAAAACTAATGTAATTCTATATGGTACATGACTCTTCTGAGAGTCCACAGAGCTAATAATTTTATTTGGTTAGCTTATTTCTCACTCAGATTTGTACATTATATTCACAAAGTGATTGGCATTATTTTGAACATTGAAAATAGCTGCCTTTGCTTTTTCAGATCAGATGTATGTATGAAAATAATTATTGTACCTCTTTCTGCCTTAACTCTTCAGCTTTCTGTTTTTCAAATTCTTCCTTAGCTTTTGAAAATCTATTTTGTTTTTCCCTGAAAATAATCATCATAAAATAACGAAAAAAATTTCATACATGCCATGAAAAAAATGATTCCTTGGAAATATGAATCTACAAGAGGGGAATTTTCAGTCCAAAATGTAAGGGGGGTGATTTTATAAGATAATTTTAAAGTCAAATGTAAAACAAACGAAATTCTTTTGAAATATTTTTTTGAATATTTATGAAATTATATATTCTTATACCTTGACTGCAATATCTCTTCACGATGTCCAGCTATTACAAACTGTGTCTTATACCTTGACTGCACAAGCAACTAATCTTTGATCACGGAATGCAGCAACATGAGTGGATTGTTCCCTAGCAAAAACAGCCAATCAGAGCCCTAGACAATGAGGACTGAACAATTTGGCTGCATTTTAAAACTTCCATGATACACAAAGATATTGGAGTCAGTTATGAAACTAATTTCTGAGTTCAGTATGGTCAAACGTAGTAGTAATTAATTGTTCATACTTAAAAGAGTTTTGTGAGATTTCTTTCGAAGACTGTTCTTCATCATTTGTATCTGGTTCACTGGAATTTCCATCTTTTACTTCTTCTTTAGCCTGTTGGGCTTTCTTTTCTTGTTTTTTAATAAATTTATAATAACCACGTTTCACTTTCTGTTTTCTTAAATCAGCAAAACCTTGTCCTACAACAAAATAAAAAAATTTATGAATGATGGTCTTGTAATGATCAATGAGGTTGGACAAATGGTGATCATGAGTTCAAATCTTTGTCAGTTTGTGGAAGATTGATGACCTTCAATAAGACATCTTTCCTAGTTATTCCAGTCAATGTAAATGGATTTTAATTGCCTGATTCCATGTAAACCTTTTTTGCTATCATTGAAAATTTTTTTTCTTTCTCTTTTTATTAGTTTTATGTCTTTGGCTTTAACCCTTTCAACCCATTTACCGGCCACACACTAACGCAATATATTCCCAAGCAACTGGTATACCGACTGTTACTAAGTGACGTCATACAACGTTTTTACTTTTATTACGTGGAGTTCAGGGTAAATGATGTTATATCTCTCAGGGTTCAAAGGGTCAAGTCAGGCAATATATAAATCTATCATACAATAAAAAGGTACTATAAGATAAGAAAATGGTCTATGACTCTGAGAACATAGGATGATTTTGACTTTTAAATAAATTGAGGCTATATCATTGATGAGTTATCAATTTGGTCATTGTGAAAGATATTACCTTCTGATTTATTTCCAGTGTGTTTTTTATACTGTCGTGACTTGTCATAAGGCTTGCGTCTATCTAAACCTTCTTTTGAAAACTTCTTGTCTATTTTGGACATTTTTCAAGATTATTTATCAGTTATGTTTACTTTTTTTCACTTTTCCAATGTGGTGGTAACGTTCAAAAAAATATTGTCATATTTTCAGAAACGACGGATACAAGGAAATGTCAAATTCATAAATTGTATCATTATTAAACAGTGTATGTTTATAGATTTACTACACCAAACGTTGATAATTTATATAAATATTCAAATATTTTTCAATCGTGATGGTCAAATACATTGTTTCGTTTTAGGTGCTTTGTTATCCCACTAGTTTGTCTTTTAACTACCGACGCCGTAACGATAAATAAATATTTTGATTCTTTGTTGTTATAGAAAATAACTTTGATTTTGGATTTGTGTGTCAAATTTCATATAACCAGAACTATTGTGTTTAGATTCTAGCGTAACAAGGATACGTGGCTTAAAATAAAAAGCATCACATGTGCAAAAGTAGTTTTAAAATTTGTCGGCTGTGAAAAGTCTACTTGTTGATCGAGTAAAAAAGGTAATGACGTCATCATCGATATTTCCTAAGAAGAAGAAGAAAGAGGAAAATAGATATTATTTGATACGCAGAATTCGTTTTGTTGGCGATTTTGGCCTCGATATTTTCCTGGTCGATTTGTAAGGTGGTTTTTCAAGTATGTTACGTTCTTCTGAAAGTCTAATTTGTTGGGTTAGGAGGCTGGATTGTCTGTATGATGGAGAATTTAACGTCGATACCGGCTGAAAAGAAATGGGGTGGGGATTTTGACCTATTTTTGATAGGGTTGAGGACATTCTTATATAAATTTCTTTGATTGTAATAGGAAGTTTCTGTCAATGAGATTTGGGCCCACAGAGTTGTTAACATGAGCTTCATTAAGGCTAAGATTACTAGGAGGGGTTGCGGTTGGTGTTAATGAAAACTGTACTATGAATGAAATCAAAGTTAGTTATGAAATATAACACATTTAAGCTGTGATAGTCCTCCTCATGTCCTCTAGAGTGGACAAAATTATTCCTGTCCTAACAGGTATGTTGGTAGCTTTATGAGGTCTGACTGTAGAATGTTGATATTGTTATAATCAATGTATTATGGAAAAAAAAGTACAAAAAATAAGTTCCAAATCAGTTTATTTCTGTCAAAATACTCTGGCACCATTTTGAATCTAATTTGATAAGCGAACTCGAAATTGTGTAGTTGTTGGTGTTGAAGATAAAAGTGTTTTTGGACTATTGTCAGATGAACACTTCTATAAGCTGTTATACTATTAGAGATACATGCTTGGAAGAATTCATTTTAGGATTTTTATATAGAGAATGATTGAAGTGTTTCATTGGTTTATGCTTCCTGAAGATAAGAAGGGGATGCTGAATTGACAGTTTTTTGATGATGATCTTTGATTCATTTTGACTTTTAGTTGCCGTTGACATTCAGAAGTTAAATATTGATCAATAGATCTGTTGGTATTTTATTACCTAAAAAGGATATGTTTGTTTTTGACCTTGACCTGATCAATGAAACATTCCTATTTTACATGCATATGGAGCAAATCATATTTAGGTTGTAGGATGACAATTTTTGCAAGCTTTTGACCCATTGTTCCAACATCAAGAATTAGTACGGGATGGGTGGTGGGTGGGTGGTTTTTGATTGGTTAGTTGAAGATATTTCATTCAATAGCTGAAAAGTTTGGTGGAATGGGGAGGGGTCTTTTCGATTGGTCATTGGTACATGTTCTGTACTATATTTCTGAAGAATGGGGGTAGTTTGGGGGGAGAGGTGTTAGGTACTGGGGATAGGTATTTCTTATTGGTCAGTGTTAGATGTTAGAATTGAGAAGGGGGGTGGGGAAGGGGGTGTGGTTCTGATTGGTAGATGTTGAATAAAAAAAGCTTCACCACCCTGACACTAGTCTGATGATTTCTGGTGGAGCTCAACTGTTTCTCTTTGTTATTGAGTAAGTATTGAATATATTTTCTGAAATTTTACAGCTACTATTAGTAGTATCTAGCTACGTCCTACTTTTCTGCACCATGTGAGCTGATGAAGACGAGCAATGTGCACAGCCTGTAGCACACGGGGCCTCGGTCGACTAACGGCTTTTTCCATGTTAGTCCCTCTAACCTGCATCACTACCAAAGGTATCATCTCAACCTAGGTACCTAATAAAGATGTTTTAGTTATCTACAGACCTAGTCATATTGGAACTGTTATTTTATTTTTCAGTTTTGGTTAAATGAATTATGAAGAGATGTTACTATGGTTATTGAAATTTTCATCCCACATTGGCGCCATATACATATTTTGAAAGCTGTCAGCATTTTTAAATCTCCTCAAGATTTTTGGATTCTGCCAACTAGAAAAAGTGTTACGAAATTCCTTAATGAAAATTGAAAAAATTGAAAACCAAATTTAGATTGCTGTTTATAATGGAAAATAGGCTAGAACACAATACCCAAATTTGAAAAAAATCAAAGATTAATTGTTTTGTCTTTGTGGAATAGAAAGGGATATCTATCTGATCATCTAAAAGAAAAAGCAGAAAATTAACCAGTATAAGATAATATTGGTTTTCTCCCTTGAAAAGTTACCATTGAAGCTGTAGATGTAAATCATTGCCTAACTCCTGACAGCATCAGTTAAAGTTTATATTGGATAACCTCCCTTTCAGTCGTCTCAAGTTTCAACAAACCAGTTCCTTGTTCACAAGAGTAACAGATTGTCTCCTCCTGGTGACCAAACCCAAACAAACCAGCTCCTTATCACTCAGTGATAGTTTCCTAACCAGTTGTGAAGCATTATATTGAAGAAACTACTCAACAATGATTTAGGAAACCCATTTTTTCCAACTTCAGCAAATGATTGGTGCCAAAATAGACATTGGAAGTTAAACTTAAAGTGAAATTCTTACCAAATATACCCACTCAAGAGTGACAGCCAATTAAATGCTCAAGCCCTGCCCCAATTTTTATTTTTATTTATAATTTACCCATTCCCCTCTTTTGAAGATTTCAATCCAAACAGACCTACAGAAGATAAACAGAATACGGGAGCTAGTTAACAAATTATCCGATAATAATCAGAATAGTGTAAGGAAGTGGAAAAGAAAAACTGAAAAGAAGTAAAGCAACCTACTGAGAAATACCAAGGAGAAATTCAACAGAATAACATAAATATATTATCTAGTTTACGAAGCCACGGTTCACAGAAGAAGATCTATATATAGAATCAAGGCAACCATATTGAGGACTTTATCGACATTAGACGTGAAGTAGTTGAGAGAAGAGGATCTGAATTGATGTAAAGCAAGCTACTTAAAACACTATCAACATCAGAAGACATCAGTTAACAGAAGATACCTGCCAGAAGACAAGATGTCCTTATATGGAGATGACTGTTATTTTTACTATTATTCTACCTGTAATAAGGTGAGTTATTGTTTCAATTATTAGTGACTACATAGTTATGATGCTGTATTCATTACTCCAGAGAAATATGAAAAATTTTCGAAGTGGTAAACAGCAATATTTTGCAAGTCGTCCTCTATTGCAGAACTTGAGAAGTTAAAATTGAGTTCTCAACATATGACGAGTTGTGATGTTTCAATATTGGGCAACCAATCAGAATTATATAATGGACACATGTGATATAGATATTATGCAAATAGATTATATTTCTCTCTCTCTAACGCATTCGTCTGTACAGATTTTTTGAGAATTGTGACGAATAGAGTCAAGTAATTACAACTTCCCAATTCCCTATAAATACAGCAATACCTGTACTATTGGTTTTATTTTGTAAAAGTGTATACAACAAGAAATCTAAACTAAATTGATAGTAAGATTTATAATGATTAATCTTTCAGGGCACTGTATGTCCTTACCGTCATGTACCTGAAGCTAGAGGTAATGAAACAGCCTGTACCTTATGGAAAGCTGGACAATGTACCAGACCAGCCTGTAGATATCGCCATATGGAAATCGTGGTAAGTATTACCTTAGTCAACATGAAAATATAAGAATCACTTGTAAACACAAAATCTCTTTAAGATCTGCGTTATATTGTGAAACCCTCTTTGTGGTCATACAAGGTCAATAAGATATTTGATCCTCTATAAAGCTGTAAATACACAGTTTGAAAATAATATATGATCTATATTAAATTGTTATCTCAGTCCATTCTATAAGATTTAACTACTACAGTAAAATATATTATAAAGACAGTGTTAAAAATACTAAATGTGTTTGTACATCTAACCAACAGTTAGTTAAAGTTTTTTGCAACATTTCAACGCATTTCTCTCAACGTGCTCTGACAAATATCTATATAATCATAAACTTTCTTACAATTTTTAAACGCCATTTAAAGACTGAAGCAGTTATAATTGTTCTATATTGTAGGTTGATAGAAGCAATATTCCGTGTTATTGGGAGAGTCAACCTACAGGTTGTACTAAACCACACTGTCCTTTTAAACATTTCACCGAGAAGAGTCTTTATAAACCTGAAGATTCTAGCACAGAACATGGTGAGATATTAAATCATTTCATATTACCCTACATTTCATTGTAATTCCACAAAATTATACACCAAATTGTTTGGACAATAATGACATTGTAGTCTCCTGAATTTTCAGGACCCGTACTGGGAACGGAATATCTACCCTGTAAAAGTGACCGTCAATCCGGTGCTCCGGTTTCCGGTCCTGCACGGCTGTGATTGGGAACCAATTATCAAATTCTATAGTAATTAGTATTTATTTACAATGATTTACAATAACATAGATTCATACTTATAGACAGAGTTGCTGTTTCAGAAACCAGCCGAGGCTTATATAAATCTGTTACCAATAAACCATAAACATCTGGGCTCTGTGGCATAAAAAGCCTCAAATTTGTCATAAGTATAGTATTTCTCAAAGTAAAATTCTTATTGTAAGATTTTTAGTGGAACAGGGCCCCAACTGGAATGTTTCAAATGAATCTTTCCCCTGTCTCTGAATGCGTCATTGTATACTGAATTCATATATATATAACGGTTTTATTCTAGAGCGTAGTGTGGTGCCCCCTGTAAATAGAAATATTAATAAAACAATAGAAAGATCAACCCCTAGTCCTACTACCTTACAACAACAGAATAGATCCAGTCCTAAGATAGAACCAGTAGTTGTTAATCCTTTCTCAGACGGTAAGATATTATTCTTCTCTTTTATTCTCTTCTAACTCCGGAGTCATATAGACACCAAATCTAATTATAGAATACTTCCTCATTCATGTGAAAAACACATTTGCTACTATCCTTGTTTGGCCAACAGAGTTTAATTTAATTCAAAGAGATCAAAAAGTCATTGCAAATAAAAACAAAGTGATTATGAAGTGCTGCTACATGGAGAAGTCAAGTAAATGTTATGTACAATTCAAAACACCATAACACGATTAAATGTGTAGAGATAATGTGAAAACTCACAAACTTGTGTTGATATTTACAGATGACTCACTTATTTTCAAAACCTTCCCTTTATTTCTGTAGAATGAAATCAGACAGGTGTAAGAAGATCTAAGAGATATAGAAATTTCTATTAATATATAACAATGACTAGACTATTTTCTATTACAGATTCTGATGAAGGTTCCCCGTTAAAGAGACAATTAGTAAAAGAAATCATAGTTAATAAAGCTAAAATAATTACATTTAAAAAAGATACAGGTAATAATACTGATCTATTTACTTTATAATTTTACAAACTGACTTTTTCCTGTCTTTCTGTTGATAAATATAATTATAAACCTTGTCTCCGTGTCTTATGAGGTTTGCAAGTTAAAAACCTACAACGAAAAAAAAAAAGCAGGAAAACTTTTGAATTACTACTTATACTTCTTAGCACACTGATTCTCATAGAGTGTAGACTATAGATTATACAGAATTCTTATTTGATTTAAAATCCCCAAAAGTAAGCAACTGTCACAAACAGTCTTTATGATATTTATAGCTGTTTCTATTTATTTACAGATGAATCAGTACGTAAAGCTGATGTAAAAATTAAAAGTTTAGCTGAAATTAGAAGAGAAAGAGAAATGATGCGAATTATAAATGATAGTTTAGGTAAGTAATATTTTATTTTTACCATCTTAAAGAGACAGGTTCGCTATCAGTTTGACCAATCATATTTTAGTCTTAGAAACTGGAGTTTTTTTAGCCAAGCTAATCAGTAATAGTGTTCACAGCTCACCGTCGAAATTTGACCCTTCAAATCCATGTGTGTCTAGAATTATCTGCGTTTGAATGTTAAAACGATGAGTTGTCTTTTCTCGAGACACGGCCATATATAGAAGAGACAACTATAGAAATAGGAAAGAAAGAAACAAGAGTATTTGAGAAAGTTAAATAAACTATATCACTATGGTAATTGTGACTATGAACAAGTCCCTTGCAATTTTCGGATTACCTATGTAAACACTCAGAAAGAGACGAGATTGTTTTTATTGTGATGAATGAATTTGAATTCTAGAAAAACCTCTTGAAGATGATAATGAAATAGAACCATATAAAATATTAGAAAGACCTACAACAGGGACTACAACTAGACGTATAGTACTGGATAATCCAACACAACAACCTACTCCTCAACAACAAGGTAAGTTGAAAAGTGAATTGATTAACTTGTAATGATTGTTAAGCCCAATATTTTAAAATGAAAAGTTTCAAATACCCACATTCAATAACAAGAAAGAAAAGAAAGAAACAAGTATATTTTACAATTTTTAATAAAGAACAAAACGACCAGACTTTAATAAAGAGATTTATTTGTTGACTGTTCCAGTAAAGAGAGTATCCAATGTACAGAAAACAGTTCCCAATATTCCAGTAGTACAGTCTGTTAAAGGTAACCTTGTGATTTTACTGGATATTTTCAAATACAATTAAATTAACTTAATATCATGTTTAACAGCAATAACTGTATCTTATCACCTGCTACGAAAGGATGCCTAAACTTTTTTCCATCAAAACCAGAAAGCATTGATTCTCGTTTAGCTGATACGATGAACTTCAAAACCCCATTTGCTACTCTTTTTGCAAGATCTTGATTAGCTGGCAAGACCTAGAAGTAGAACAGTGGAATGTAAAAGCTTCATTTCAACAAAGAGATATTTTTATTCCAATTATAGGTAATTATTAATTTCCACCGAGAGAGTGTTGTCAAGTACAATTCATGACATTGTTTTATTGATACCAATTTATAACAGTAGGATATAAAACTTCATTACAATAATAAATACAACAAAGAGTTATAATACTATATATTGTTATTATAGGTAACATAAAGAGTAGACTAGGAAGAAAGATGGCTGTTGATAATAATAATACAGATACAACTAAACCTGATCCAACAGTTCTAGATAAACCATCTCTATCATCTAGACTAGGTCTAACACAGACAGCTAAAGGTCGGTTTCGATGGGCATTATATTCCTGACGTTTGTTACAAATTTATTTAATTATTACTTTTTATTTGTTATTAAAGATATGAGTCATACCCATGACATATTTCTTTGGGTTTTTTTGTAAACATGGGAAGAATTTTTGTTTCATTTAAATCTGAATTTGAATCAGCATGGAAGTAAAACTAAAAGTGTTATTAATTGTATGACAGGTTTTTTTAGACTTGTATATTCATTATGGTCAGATGTTTAGAGCTTTTGCTCTTGTAAAAAGTCTTTTGAATGTCTCATTTTGAATCTACACCTAAAATTAGAGAACTGGAAAAAAACTATTAACAACGTTTGTCTATAAAGTAGGACCTAAAAGTCTGATTTTTAAGTCTCTGTTATATAAAATCTCTGTATATTTTTGTAGGTTTTAGAAAAATAACAGTATTAGAAACAGAGCCAGTAAAATCTGTTAATATTAATATTAAAACTACTATAGCTGATAGAAAAAAACATGCTTTAGAATCTCTGAAATCAACCAATACACCAGGTATATTTATATATTTATACTCTTACTTGATAATATTATAAACTAATTTGATAGCATCAATTTACACAATCTGATTTTTCTATGTGTATCAGGGACATTGATAGCATCAATTTACACAATCTGATTTTTCTATGTGTATCAGGGACATTCATAGCATCAATTTACACAATCTGATTTTTCTATGTGTATCAGGGACATTGATAGCATCAATTTACACAATCTGATTTTTCTATGTGTATCAGGGACATTGATAGCATCAATTTACACAATCTGATTTTTCTATGTGTATCAGGGACATTGATAGCATCAATTTACACAATCTGATTTTTCTATGTGTATCAGGGACATTGATAGCATCAATTTACACAATCTGATTTGCAGTCAGACTTCTGTGGTTAAAAATTCATGACTAGATTCTACGGCATGTCTATCGAGCACAACAGTCTTGTCACATCTGGTCATGTTTTTCTAGATTAACAGGACCTACTGTCGTCTAATGGGATATCAGAATGATGCTAAGGTATAGGAAACTTGTGCATTTTTGTAAATGAAAAAAAAAAGAAAAAGACAATTCTATTTTACAAGGTTAACAACTTAGGTTTACAATTAAGGTTCCTTTCTACCAGCTGATCCTTGGCCAAATCTCTTGGTGATATTGAAAGATATAAACATGTGTAAAAGGAGTTTTACATCCTACTGTTCTGCACCTAATTGGTCTAATGAAGACAGAAAGAACAACTATATTTTACAAGGATAACAACTTAGGTTTACAATTATGGATCCTTGGCATTGATCTTTTCCGGATTATCTGTACCAATATACAGTGTGAATTATACCAATGTGTTATGTATTACTGGTCTCGTGTATTTTCCACCAGTTGCCTCATAAAACAAATTACTGTTGATATTTTGTAGAATCTGAAGAAGATAAAACAGTAAGAAAATCACCAGAAGAAAGAAAAAGAAAAATAAGAACAGTAAAACAAGAGAGAGCTATTTATGTTCCACCTGGACAAAAATCAGGTGAGTTTTATTTTTATATTTCTATTAATTTGTTTCCTGTTTAAACTTTCAATGGTTTGGTTTTCAACTGTATTTCTTTGTTTACTTGATACAAGTGTAGTTTTAGAGTTTTAAAACAGGAACTTGTGTTATGTTTGTAAGTCTTCACATCTTGTATCTTGGTATATTGTTATAGTTCTTAAATTTGGTTCTGATCTACTACAACAAACATGAAACTTTCATAGATTTACATTTTTTTTGCAGAAAAATCATCACCATCTACCTCTCCAATAAAACAATCATCAGCCATATCACCTAGTAAACGTTCCAGATTATCAACAGACTCAGACAATACAGACAACAATAATCTTCAGGTATATTATTTATTAATGAAATATTAGAAAGTACAGGTTATAGAGAGATGAAGAATAGATACTTCTAGAATAAAAATATCTACCCTTGAATTTGGATCCAATCAGCAATTGACAACTTTTATAAAACAATAAATAAAAGTTGAAATATCTCACCTTCACAAGCATCTATTTGCCATTTCCCATCTACCCCACAACTCCTATTGCCAGTAGATCTACTGCTGCAATCGGAAGGTTATTGTTACAGACTGAGTAATAGCTTGATCAAGATTGATATTGTCAGTTAAAACAAGAAAATTAGGACTTAAAAATTATGATATGTAACTGATTCTGTACTAATGAAAAAAGTTAATCAACTTTTAAAGAAAATGGGAATTTGTACAAATTTGTAAATGTATGCAATTTGCCATTTTTATTAAATAAGAATATATTTGTTATTCAGGGAAAGGTTCGTGTTAAAACATTTGCCGAGTTAATGGCTGAGAAACGAAAACGAAAAGAAGAAGATGAGGCTCAAGTACTAGAGAAACAGAAATCATCACCTAAAAAAACACGTAGTAATTTTAAACCTATTGTATTTGATATTGATCAAAAAGGTAGGTTATCTTGTCAATGTTTGATTTAGTTTTTAATGATAGCTTTGATGTGCTAGACCTTTGGTTCTCAACTTAATGTAATCTGTGTACCCCTTGTCATGTTTTGATGCCACTGGTACTCACCCCTTCGTGGTGAACTGATTCAATGTTCCAAATTTAGGTTTTATTTGCTTGGCTGTATTGATTACCAATCAATAATCAAAATAATTCAATTGAGAAACCCTGTAAATACTAAATTAAAAACATGTCAAAATTCTGAATTTCATGGGTTATTTTTGCGTCATAGAAATTATTTTGTTCATTTTACCCAGCCCGAGCTGTAAAGAATTTCCTATAGTGTTTTACAGGTACTCTCCGGCGAAACTCTTTTATGGAAACCAGGATTCCAAAGATTATAGTTTGAAGAACATAATCTGTATAAATTGAATGTTCAAGGCAAACATTTGTTAAAATGGCTGAATAGTACTCCAGATTTAGAAATTTGAATTTATTTAAAATTTTTCATGTTCTCTTTCCAGATAAAATGGCCACACCGAAAGTGATAGCCGCGACCTTACCGTTCAGACATAAAAAATCAGCTTTGGTGGCACCAGTTCAAAATATAAAGCAGTCTGAATTGTCTGAGACGAAACCCAGTGCTATTAACTCTGAAAAAGCTATTTCTAAGAATTCATTGTCAAACTCTAAAGATGTGGTTGACTGTTCTCAGAATGTACTGAAATCAGAGCCATCAGAGCCAGTTGTAGACT